CGTGATCAATGTGGGATGGGACATGGGGTTGGTGGGGAATTGGTAAATCCCACAAACTGGACTTGGATCCCGAGACAAACCTATATGCAAATTGCGAGATCACAATTATCACACTGCCTCCATGGTTTGTAAAGTGGGTATATTCCCTGGGCAGATCTCCCTCTGTCATACAGTTTATTATTAGCAAGGCCCATCTAGCTTGCAACTTGGGTTAAACAAAGCCCTGCATAATTACATCTATGTTCTTTAGACAAACGAGAGGTACCTCCGACTAAGTAAATATCTGGTTTCAGAATCTGATTGTAATGGGTGTACAAATTTACACTGTTGGCTCCCATACAAGCATTAAAATCTCCTGCAATGATAAATACTGCAGTAGATTATGGGAATTCCAGGGATTCTGTATAATTATTTAGTTCTGTCCAGATAGTATTTATAGTAGTGGTTTTTTGGGGGGGACAAGGTGGTATGTAGACGTTAATCAGCATTAGACGTACTTGCCAAACTATAACCAAGACAGCCATTGCAAACGAGTTATATGGAATCATGGCAGTTGTAGTTGTATTCAACTTTGTGGAGATGAAACATGCTAGACCCCCAGTGGCCCTACTACCTTTTGTTGAGAGAGTAGCTGTCAATGAGTGAAATATGTATCTGTTAAGCATTATAGAAGCCATTGTGCCATGTTTCTTGTAGCAGAATAATATCAAATTGCTCAAAATAGTTCATCAGCTGTTTAATATTCTGCTTTGAACACCAACCTGCTATGTTCTATGACATCAGTTTTAGCCCCAATTCCTTTAAGGCTCTGTGCTTGTCACTTCCACTTTGTCCACTTTCTACCCAATTTCGTCTAAAAAAAAGTTTCCATTCCTCTTCTCAATGGGAACCCATTCAATGGTGTTAATAGGCTGACTTCCAGTAAGGCAGGGGTCCCCTATTTGGAAATATCTGTAGAACAACCTCACATGGCCTCAGTACCAGGTTGATTGAATGAGGATGCCTTCCTATTTCTTTAATTTTTGACAAGTTGTTCATAGGCATGAGTTTGGGCTTACTGTGCTTCTCCCTAGGTATTGTTAAGGAGGAGAGGGATGGAAGTACATTGCAACTTGTAATGTAAATTGTCAAGCTTCTTAGATATGTTTTTCGATTGTTCAAAAATATTTTGAACTGTCTGACCGGCAGGTAGCACTCCACTAGCAGTTCCATCTTTCTATCAATCAGCCTTTGTGCCACAATTAGGGGAGTATTAGCTTTATCCTTCTCATTAAATCCAGGGAGTGTCTCCTCTGCCGTTTCTGTGTGCAAAGAGTTAAAAGGATTTGCTTGGATCCTGAGATATGTTAGCTCAATTAAGTTCATGGAAGGAACATTTCCTGTCCCCTTCTCTTCCTGATCAGCCTGCCCGCACCCATTTCACATTATTCAAAAACGCCCTTCTGACCATCCAGAGAGGCTTTTGGGGGGACACAGAGGGAAGGAGGAAATGGGAATCTTTCCTTCTGTGGACTTTTCAAAGTTAACTTCTTAGGACCAAATTTTAAATTATTTTCAGGTATTTAAGTAGCTCATAAAAAAGGTAGGAAAACAAACTATAGATGAAAAAAATGATAGGGGGGAATGGTGTAAACTCTTCATTATCTTGAAAAAAATTATATAGATGAAAAACTATAGATGAAAAAAATGATAGGGGGGAAATGGTGTAAACTCTTTATTATCTTAGTCTCTACAAAGGCCAAGCTCAAACATACAGGTATGCATAAGTAGAACTGGTTCAGTGATTTCTTTCACATTTATCTCACCCACTTCCCGTTTTGTCCAATTCTGTCAATTGAAAGACACTTTGGGGGAATCCCCCCCTCAAATGCAGCATATACATTCCTAAATAAATTAAATAATTAGGGAGATCAAGTAAGCCACTGCAACAGCCACATAAAAAGAATACTCAAAATGACTTCACGAATAAGACTACAGTAGATTATTTTGATCAAAACTGCCCTTACCCCCCCTTTTTTTTACCATAGCTTCTGGGGAAAGACTGGCTTCTTAAAATACAGAGAGAATTACTATGGGCAAAAATGCAAAGATTGTCCCAGAGTCTGAGAATAGCCATTCGTATGGGGTTTGCTTCTGGCAGCTTCCACTCTGTCTCTCTGAAAATGCCTAGCTGATTAAATCACTGTGTTGTTTCAGTTTAATATTTTACTTTAAGGTGGCCAGAGGGGGGGATGCAACTCATTTTTCTAGTTCAAACTTTAATGCTAAAATTGTTTAGGTTTATTTTAAAAGAAAGATAAAGTGCTTGAACAAAGCCAATAATTTATAGCGGACACATGCTGGACAAGAATGACACTTTGGGGGATTGCTGCAGTGTTTAATAGTAAAATGTACTGCCTTGCATGTGACATCTGATAAATTCCAAACGAGGCCAGGGCTCGTGAAATTGATTTGAAATTTTTTTGCAAATGTTTTAAAGATAAAAGGAAGCATGCAAACCAAATCTAGAGCTATCATGGCTTGGGAGAGACACACATTATGGAATATTACTAAAATCACAAAAAACAAACTGAAAAATGAATATGAACTGTGTTCTGCACAAATGAGAGACCACTGTTATTCAAAGAAATGTGTTGTGCTTGTGCATCAAGATGGAGGTTAGTAAAGCCAAAGAGCAAAAACAAGGCAGAACATCAATTCAAAATGTCACACACTTCAAGGCAGATTCATTTCCATCCATGGAATCTTAACTCTGCCACTTAAAAGCTGTGTATAATTAAAATGCCAAAATGTAGAACAGTTGATAGTTTATTGTGTGGTGTGGGTGGATTCAGTATTCTGTCAGGGGATGGCTCAGGGTTAAAGCAAAAGATGAATTCATCAGAAATGAAATTGAACTGTATTTAAATATGAGGAAGCACAAGAGGGGAAATGGGTAGCTGGGCTTTAGAAAGACTGCAAAACAACTACTGGATTTCTATTACAGCTTTCAGGGCTCTTAAGGGATCACGGTAATGTAGCACATACATTCCAGGCTCTGTAGTATTTCTGGTGCATAAATTACATAGTTCACTTTTTAAAATCAAACAATGCAGAGCCTGGAGTAACTTAAAAACAACAACAACAACTAGCTCAACGAGCTGCCAGAGAATGTGACATTTGTTTTTTCCTCTGTATTAGGAAAAGTTCACACAGCCATCAAGATATTTATGAAATAAACTCAGTGTGTGAGGGCTTCAGGGTGGTTATTTTTTGTCAAGGTTGAACTCAGTGAAACAACTTTAGAGAGCAATAACTATTGGGAATCCAAGTTTAGTAATGTAAGTAAATAATTTTCTTAGTCATTTTATAACATCCATTCAATAACAATGTTTTGATATCAATTCCACTTTAGCTAATAATGTGCTTGTTGGTTACAATTTATTTGTATATCAGATCTATAAGCTACCTCCTCTCCTCCATTTATGCAATGATTTGCATTTATGAATATTTAATTCTGTCAGGTTCTATTGCAAACACATGTAAGAGGAAATGTGGAAAACCAAGAATATTTCAAGCATACTTTGGTAGTTATGGAACACTGACTGTATGAATTGAAACCAGACACTGATATAGGGGGAAATGTGTTGTGTTTTTTTAAGTTCTAGTCTGAATATTGAGCTTTGTATGATTTGACCATTAAACAGAATATTTTTTTGAATAGTTTGCATTTTGAAGAAAATTAAGATGTGTATTAGTGTGTTTGGCCTTCAGTGATTCTGTATTACCTGGACACAGCAGTTTGCTTTAGTAAGAGCAAACGTGTTCTGTTAATAAAAATATGGATTTTTTTTCTTGGACTTCATCCTATTGCCAAAGCTATCCAGTAAGGAAAGTGGGAAGACTTGAAGCAACTCGTACAGTTGACCTTGTGTGATAATCCTCCATCAGTTTCTGAACATTCTATTAAATATTCACAAGAGCATAACTAATAACTAATTTTAGGTGCTTAAGTTCAGCAGCAGGTTCTCCTAAAGCAACAGGCTTTTGAATCACTACAAACCAGAAACAAATTTAGCACCTTGGACAGTAGGACCCAACTCTGCACAACTGCCTTAGTCTGGGTCTACATGCCCTGTTCTCTGATCCTTTGTACCACTCTCATGGACTGGACTTGGTTATACTCTTCTACCTGAAGTACAACAGGATTAATGACAGCCCCACTAACCTTCCACTTGGAACTATACCAACACTAGTGACAGTACAACATTGAATTCAATAGGACTTATTTCTGAATATGCATAGTTAGTTTAGGGTAGCACCTGGCTATCCCACTGACACTAAAAGAATAGGGCTGGACAACCTTAGAAGTTTGGTTGTATTTTTGGATGTTTTGAGGGTAATGCAAGCAACTCTTTTACTTGCCTTGCTTATTAGAGCTAAAGCTTAACTTGATTAATCAAATGCTCTTTAAATCCCAGCAAATGAAAACAGCTAGTACAACCAATGATTTGTCTTGTGGTGAGCAATTATGTACAAACTCTTTATCTACTGGAGTTTAAATCTGCAGAAAGAATGCAATCCTAAATTGTTCTGGTTGGGATTATTTTTTTAATGGAAAAGGAGATTTATTTTACTGAAGCGTGGAGTGAAATGTAGGTGTCAAGCAGAGGTTAAATAAATTTATTTGCGTGCAGAGATCTTGTGGTTGGCCAGGGCCCAGAGAAAGATGATGAATAAAGGGAGGGGGCAAGGTCTTGGGTTCAAATAGGCCACAACTATTTGATTACAGATGCAAGTAGGCTTTGGCATAGGCACTGCGTATGTATCATATCAGCCAACCAAAATGCAGGTTAATTAATGGTTGGGTCAGCCCTTAGCTTGAGGGCTGTCCTATAATGCTCATCAATTCCAGGAGATCACACCATGACAACCATTTGGAGGGGAGCTATGGCCCATCAGCCCCCATCTGAGCTTCTAGACAGTAGCAAGCCCTCACAGACCCCCATTTCTTGTTACAGAAGGGGGCAGGCTCCCAACTTCTGCCAAGACTAAGGATGCAACCTAGTGCCTTATCCATCAACAAGTTGTGACCATTGCTATGAGGTAGGTAAAAATTTCAGATGACCCCAACTTTCCTGAAGGAAAATTTCTGCCTGGCCCTGAATACAGCAAGGTCCATAGCAAGGCCTCACACAGGGCTCACCTTTGGACACTAGCACAGACTATTGCATAGGGTGGGAAATCCAACTATGACTGAGCTGGCTGGGGGTGGGTCACAGCCTGCTTAAATACCTGGCAAGTGGACCTGAATAAAGACCACGAGTGAGGTTCAGATGCTCACTCAAGTACGATGCGTAGGCTACACTCTCTTGCCCATCTATGATTGGCTCATTCAAACAGGCAGCCACCCAGCAGTTCGTGCAACTGGTGCAGGAGAAGGGCCCAAGGTGCAGGGAGGGGGACTCAGGCTGGTCCACGGCTGAGCCGAGTGGCAGCTGCCTTCTGTCACCATTCAACAGTAAACAGTCCTTCTTTAAGAAGAACTATGCAGAGAGACCAACAGAAACAGCTTCAGTGGTATGCAAAACACATATATAACCAGTGCTCAGCTCTTTCTTCTAATTCTAAAAGAAGTAATTCATAAACTATCTGTTTGTAGTAATTGTGACAGTACAGTTTATACAGCGAGAGGGAGATAGCTAATTCTGTGTATCCTTTCAAATTCAGAGTAGTTATTTACAGGCCTAAGACAGCACACCCATTAGAATGCATTTGATTCTAAAGTCCAAACCTATGCCTTATTAAAATGAATGTAGGGAACAAGCCAAATTATTCCCTCTAACATCTTTTTCATATTGAAATATGAAGTATGTGGATTTCACAACCGGGCAAGAAATTTTCTGACATTTCAAAGATGCATAACTTCCACAATTTGCTGGTGGCTTACTCATCCTTTGAAACCACAAGTTCTTAAAATGTATTATTATTAGAAAGAATCATAACATCAGGTAAAGCACAGTGTAGGAAATAAGCAAGGTGGAGGTGGTCCTGCTGAAGTAATTCTTTTTTAAAAATCGATTCTGTCTTAAGAGTTGATGAGTGTGCACTTAAAAGAAGAACACAAAAGTGCTTCTTGGAACGCTGCTACTTTGTTTTAATTAGGATTCCAAGCAGTGCTATCAAATCTTATGCCTTAGAATTGCTTCCAAAAGGAAGTGCAGTTTAATTCCATCACTCTTTATTGCAGGCCTACATATGCAGGAAGATTAAAAAAGAACCAGAAAGGAGTCAGTCCACCCTCTCTGGTACACTTTTGCCTTAGTCCTCCCCTTCCCCATATTAACGTAATATTTCGTTTCCGCCTTCCCCCAGGAAGACAATATCTAGATGTTTTCCTTTTGCTTACATTTCCTTAAATCAGTTTTCCCCAACCTGGCTGCTCCAGATGTTCAGGTTCTGCCACTCCCATTGGCCCCAGCATGCCCATTGGCCAGGGCTGATGGGAGTTGTAGTCCAAAACATATGGAGGGTCTCCGCTTGGGGAAGGCTGCCTTAGCTGTAAGAATGTTTAATATCTCCTGTTATTTTTTCCCATGTATTCCTGAAGATTTGTAATATGCTCACCTTTACAATGATATCTGTTGAGTCACTTTGATAGTTTCTTTCTAAATCATCCTTTTTGTGGTTGTTATGCAGTGTGGATAATGCTTACAGTCATTTCCCAAAAGGTTGTTATGACTTTACCCAGGATGACGGCAATCTTTAAAAGGGCAAGGCAGCAAGATAGAGTATGTACCCTTCTTCCCTATGTGGGGTAGCAATGAAGATTCTACTTTTACTCTTCAGCAAATGGAAGAGGATGCTGGTCAAGGGCAGTGGTGCAATATAGTGCCTTAGAACAGAGGTGGGGATCCTCTGGCTCCAACTTATGACTCTCATCAGCCCAAGACAGCATGGTCAGGGATGATGGGAACTGCAGTCCAGGAACTTCTGGAAGATCACAAAGCATAAAGCTAATGCTATTCTAGGTTGCATCAACAGAAGTACGGTTTCCAGATCAAGGGAAGTAATACTACCACTCTATTCTGCCTTGGTCAGACCACATTTGGAGTACTGTGTTTAGTTTGGGCACCACAATTTAAGAAGGATGTTGAGAAGCTGGAAAGGGTGCAGAAGATGACAACCAAGATGATAAAGGGTATGGAAACCAAGCCTTATGAAGAACAGTTGAAGGAGCTGGGTATGTTTAGCCTGGAAAGAGGAGACTGGGAGGAGATATAATAGCCATCTTCAAATATCTTAAGGGGGGTCACACAGAAGATGGCGCAAGCTTGTTTTCTCCTGCTCTGGAGGGTAGGACTTGAATCAATGGCCTCAAGTTACAAGAGAGGAGATTCCAACATCAGGAAGAGCTTTATGACAGTAAGAGCTGTCCAACAGTGGAACAGACTCCCTTGGAATGTGGTAGACTCTCCTTCGTTGGAGGTTTTTAAGCAGAGGTTGGATGTTTTAGCTGAAAATTCCTACATTGCAGGGGGTTGAACTAGATTACCCTTGTAGTCCCTTCCAACTCTACAATTCTATGATTCTATGCACCATCTCTAAATGTAAATTTGGGTCTTATGTCCCCTGGGCAGCATTATGAAAACAAATTGAAGAAAAATAAATAAAAACGAATGCTTCATTGCCTGATATTGTGTTCAACTGTTTCATCTGAAAGGAGAAATTCAAACTTTAAATGCAACTGATTCACCCCTAAATGCCATGGCATAATGGATAATGATAGTCAGTTACTGTTCTCATTCTCATTATTCTGAATAACCTAATGATCCAAGGAACAGAAGCAGGAGCAGTCATTCTTCCCTACAATGTATGTACTTGGGGGAGGATTTCATGTTAAAATGCTTTCCTGCTTCTTGGTGGTCTCATGGAGTTCACTGATGCTTTAAACAGAGCTGCTCTTTCAATCACTGAGCGTTTTAAAAAGTCAAACATGTCCCACTTGGACCTATCACTCCTATACTTGACCTGCCTGGCTCCACAATTCAAGGCACAATAGTATTGCAGAGAAACCTCATTTCACAGTTAAGTCTGAAATGTAGTTAATCTCTGGCTGTATTGACACAGTGGCTTCACTTAAGTGACCCCTACTAAAGAAAATAAACTATAATGGGGAGAATTAGGCTACAATCCATAGAAGCTTATAACTCTAATGGAAGTTTTATCTCCCCCCGACCCCCAGCCATAATCAGGCCTTTCACATATAATAAAAACCTGTGTTTTTATTAAATCTTGGGGAGCTTTAGAATTAAACGCAAGGCTAAGGACCTACTTTTACCAAGAAAAATGTTGACAGTTCCATGGACTTTTCAAACCCTTTCACACACCCTTTCAAATTGTTTGATAGATTGCAGTTCAGGTTTGCTGATGGGCTGGTTAGGGAAAATGCCTCATAGCACCCACCAATTCACACACACACACACACACACAGTCAATAACAGCTGCAGGGTAACAATATGCACTCACAGCTGCAGTCTGACTTAATTTAACACTAGCAAGCCACGTGGAATTGCCAAAGCTTTCTCCAAGTCAGCTAGGCTTTGAAAGTTTTCACACTATAACATGCTTCTAACCTGAAGCCCTTATTAACATTTAGGGATTGGAAGGATTAATGTTCCTGAAAAAATGTTTCAAAACACAAGAGTGAAAGAACAGTAAATATATCATTTCAGCAGAAACAAGGAAATTGGCATCCCAGAAATGAAAACTTGTTTTGATCGTGGATACAAATCAGCAGATGTCGTGCTGGCATAGCGAATGTATGTTTAGATGCAATTGGAACTAGCACAGTGACTGATAAACTATCAAGCAATTGTTTTGACAATAACACAACAACACTACAGTAGCTCCTTTTTAAATTGTTCCAATGAGTCATGCAAATGCATCTCCAATAATATTCGGCAAGTCCATTCATTTACACCAGTGTCTTTACTAAGTAAGATATTACTACTTCATATTGGATGGCATAGAACCAAGTATATTCTGATACTTCTGGTTATGGAAGTTCTAGGCATAATTATTGATCCTTTAAGTAACTTCTTTGCCATATAAACCAAGAGCTGACCCCAGCACAGGCTGAATAAAGTGGGCTATTGGGTGTCAATGAACAGTGCAAACTTTATTTGTTCAGGCTATTTTATTCTGTTGTGCAAAGGAAATACATAGCTTTCTCTTTTTAGCTTCTTGTGTCAGTGGATGATGAACCATACGTGTTGCCATAATCAGCTGGGGATCACCAACGTCACTTTCTACCAATATCTAGTCCATATTTGGAAATTTCTAAAATCTTTGCTACATTGTTTTCATTGCAGCAAGGAGTTCCATAGCTTAGTTTTCCATATCCTGAGAACAGACAATTTTCAGCAGACAGACACCATTTTCGGCAGAATTGGCTGATCCAAAGACTCTAAGTGGAAGAGGCTATATCTATATTTCACCTTTCTCATCACTACATGCCTCTCAAAGTATTTTTACCTGTCTCTTATCATTTCTTCTTCCATTCTCCTTTCACACTCAATTTGCATCTCATTCCCACCTCCATCCCCCAAATTGCCAGATTCTTTTATCCTTCTTCTCTAGTCTTTTTACACTTACTTCTTCCTCTTATAAGAGCTTTCCTCTCTTATTCTCTTCATTTCTATTCCTAGTCTGTTTGTTTATTACAATTATTGTTAATAAAAACCTTTTATTTCACTTTCTAATTTCCATCAACAACTTCTCTAGATCTTTCCCCTCAGAGAAGGGAGACTTTCCTTCCTTCTCCATCCACCTCCTCTACATAGCGTGCAAGAGGTGCTGGCATGGATCTAATCAAAAGACTATGGCAAGGGTTGGAGGCAGGGCAGGCAAGTGAGTAGGCACTGTTTGTTGCACTGTTTGTTGCACTGAGGCCCACCTGAAAATGGTCCAAAGCCCACAGGTGAGTCTTAGCCCACTGTATGAGAAACACTGGCCTATAGCACTTGTGATTAGTGAAGAAACTGGCCTATGATTTACCTTAGAACGTCCTACATTGTTACTAGATGTATGGATGGAAAGATAGA